ATAACATCCTTAGTGGAAATACCTGGCAAATCTCATATGACCCTCTCATTTCACCTGAACTGAATCGACTGTCACACCGATTAACACACATATTTACAATGGCAATGACAGCTAGACCCGGGGGATCGAATTAATATTTAATATAAAATGGACACTTGTCCAGCCATCTAGGTTGTGGGAGCCAATAACATTGGTTACCTCAACAGAAATCCCAAAATCTGTGGAAACAGAGCAAAAAAATAAAAATAAAAATAAAATATTTTTCCTTCTAAAAAAAAACCCCAACAGATTCTTTCTCCTCTTCTACCACAGAGAACATCTTCAGCATTCTAAGCACACGGCACAGCAAGAGTAGAAGGAACATCTGTGCAGGAGGGAAAAAAATAAAACATCCTACGTTTCCCCAACAGAGCGCCAGCACAGTGAATAAATAGTGCGTGGCACTAGGGACTGTGAGATAACTTGCTTTTCTACTGAAGGAGGGTTTTTTTATTGGAAATGTTGTTCTCTCCTAGGAATCAGGATGCTGAAGGTCCGACATGGGGAAAAAGCCGCTGTCTAAGTTACAGTTTTGCTGTCACTACACTTTTAGCCAGGCAGATAATTCTCCTTTTACTCCAGAGTGACTGACTCAGGCTGGAGCTGATACAAATTCCCAGGGTTATTCTTGGAGTTAGATTAGCTTGGCTAATGCAGGCCTGTTTAACCACATCAAGAGGGTCACAATGTGTATAATTTAGCACTATTTATCTAAAGGGTGGATATCAGCAAAACAGATCCAATACGCTACAGCTGAAGAGTCTGGCTAAACTTTCCTAGTCAACAGTTTCTTCCCAAGCTCTTGTTTCTGCCAGGAAAGCTTTTTCTAGCGAAAATGTGACTGGACAGGATGGATTTATGCACTAGTGCGGCAGATAGCTGCTGGGAGGGGTGCGCATTGCGGGGCGCTTGCACAGATGCAGTAAAATTTGTTGTGGGTTGCAAACTTACTCCAGCCACTGACGGGGAAAAGGGAAGTAACTAATGGTCAGCCCATTGCTCTCACTCATGCACAAGGAAGCATATTTACCTGCTAAGGCTTCTGTGCTGGTAAATATTAATGAGAAACCAATAATGTTAACAGTGGAAGCTAAAAGAGCATTTATGATCCCTGCGCTGCAGGAAACTCACGCAGGACATTAAAAGAAGAGGTTATTCACCTGTAACTGGAGGCTCTTTGAAGTGTGTGGCCCCATCTGAGGGTTTGCACATGTGTGCCATGCGTCGAGCCAGAGAATTTGAAAGTAGTAGTGTCCGTGGGTCCATGCGCGTGCCCTTGCTTCGCCTCATGGTTTTGTGTGAGGCAATAAAGGATGGAGCAGACTAATCATGCCTTCTGTTCCTTTTCCACCACAAACTGAACAAGTCTACAGCAGAAAAGCCTCCAGTTTTCACATAAGGACCATCTCCTTCTACAAGTGATGGTCCCTATGAGAAATAACAAGCCGTATCTAATTTGTAGAGCCCTGCGCAGATACAAAATGTTATAGCCTCATCTGTATCTATAGCCGCAAAGATGAGTTGCAGATATCCTCACTGACTTCCCTGGATGCGGATATCTGCAGATTTGCAGGGTTCCAGCTAGAAAATTTGTATCCACGTCCATAGCTGCAAAAATGAGCCCTGGATGTGGAGGCGGATACCCGTGGATTTAAAGCAGCTATCCGTGGATTTGCAAGAATCTACTAATTTAGAGGAGGGCACGAGGAAGAGGATTGAACGGTTGAATGGAGGAACAAAGAATCTAGTGCAGAGTCCTGCACGTTGACATAGCATGCAGCAAAGGTATGTACCATGGTTGGCCTACATATGCCCAGAAGTGATACACCAAGAAAACTGGCTGTAGTGTACGCATGTGTCCTTGTGGAATGGGCTCTCAATCCAAGGGGTGGACGCAGTTCAGACAAGCAATGGCAGAGCATGATGCACCCCAAAATCCACTTGGAAATCCGTGGTGTGGAGATTGCTTGCCTCTTGATCCCTCGTCGCTATAGTGACAAACAACCTAAGGAACTTACTGCCTGGTCTTGTCCTCTGCAAGGCCTTACAGACGTCGAGAGGCTGAGG